CGTGATCATAAGATAGCGCGAATAGAGAATAGATTTTTAGAAAATAGACATTCCATGTGAACGAAGTCTTAAATACTCCCACCCTCCTTGCACATTATCTGGTTAATAGCTATCAATATTTAAATATTGATCCTTAAAATGGCATTCATACCTGATACATGCAGTTCTCTTTCCTCATGAATATCACTGTTCCTTTGGCTGAATAGTAGTCTGGTTTTTCTGTAGCTCCAATGTTTTCTTGCTTTACAGCAGCAAAGCTTTTCCAATTAGTTGCGCCTCCTATTAAGACATATATAGGAGATGGTAATAATCACTGATAAATTGACAAAGAATACTGCAAAAAGAGAAATCAAGCTTTTCCATGCATACTAACAATGCTATGTGCATTACCCTCAAACTAGAGGATCAAAGAGGCGATACCGCCTGCGGGTATTGTACCACCAGCTGGAATAAGTACATTCGTATGGAAAACAAGAAGAAAGGGAAACCACCCAGTGATGTGCCTGACAAGCTCTGCAAAATGCAGTAAACAAGAGTTCTCAATTTTTTGTTGAAAATTACAATTTATAACAAAATTGTGGGGAAAGCAAAAGGTCAAATCCAAATTTGTGAAGTGCAGTTCATGGCAAAAAGTAGGTCAAAGGTAAAATCCAAGGGCATATTTGAAATCTCCACATGACTTTTGGTCAGCCATCTACAGATTTTTTTCCCCATAATTCATTTGATTTAGGAGATACTTAGCATTTAATTTTGCAAATTTTGGACAAGGGTGCATTGCAAGGAGCGCCACACCTAGACTCGTGCAAGGACAAAGCCCAAAATTTACGTGGATCGATCCAAGATTATAAGTGATGGGTGCGCAGGATCTCGTAGTCTAGGAGAAGAAGTGCTAATGGTGACATGGTGGTAGATCGCCACTGTAACATGACAGAGAATCCCCCATAACAGAGTCCACTTCCCATTCATTTGTACAGGTGAGCCTCGTCCTAGGGTGTATTCCCAGAGATTTAGATCGATCCAGAGATTAAGATTAAGATCGACCTAACTCCCTGGGGGTTCACGCTAAATTGCAGTCAGCCGAGCGCGCACCATAGTTAATTACCCCCTTACAGCTTTTAGTAGGCAGGACAGACGCTTAAGCCGGCTAAGCTGACAGTAATCTAGTGAGACTCCCCACAGGGATAGATCGATCTAAAATCTATGGGAATGGAGTACTAGATTTTGAGCCACTTAGGTCAGACTAACCAAGAGACGGGTTCAGTCTAGGAGGAGAAGTGGTAACGGTGACATGGCAATGGAGCCGGCAGACGAGACGGGTCCGGACTTAAACCATGTGCACCGCTAGTTCCTACACTGGTGGTACAATCAATTTTAAAATCTTGATGATTGTCTATTTTTAAATTACCTTTTAGCATTAAAAGAAATCAACACTCCTAATGAAGAAGATTTTCTCTGCAAATGAAGGAAAATGATTTCTCTTACCTGAACCTCCTTGTCCCCCCTCATTCCTGTACTGTTGGAAGTCCAGGTTGTGTCCATCTCTGTCATACCAACCTTTAAGCCTGTGGGCCTCCTCAATGTCAGGATTAACAATCAACTGACTACTGGACAGTGTGGAGAGTGAACGGCCTAAAAATTAATGTTTTAGAATACCATGATGACAATATTTTTTATTAAAATAAGAAACACATCCAACTTCTACAAGTTGAACCACACAAGTTTAAAAGAGGTGTTAAGAGAAAACCAGGTGTTAAAATAGTTGCTTGTTTACAGTTCAATATATATGCAATTATAACATTTGAATTTCTTGAAGTCTAATTCTAATAAAAACTTGAGGATTCTAATATTTATAAACACCAATGAATCTATGATCAACACTTCTATTGTTTTCCCTACTTACCCCCAAAGTCAGAGAGCCTTGCACCCTTTATTGCCACTACAGGGTGATTGCTACCATCAAAACCTTCTGCCTGAATCAGAAAACATTGCAAATGAATTAATTCTATTGTAATGCAAAATTATATTAATACACTGATCTTCTAAATGTAGTATGAAATCAGGAAAAAAAAATTCTGCAATTTTGTTTGATAAAGGGATGAGAATACTTCTCTAAATATACAATCAGTAAAAACTTTTTTAATCACAGATATACATAACATGAAACTATTAGATATATGAAAGTGTTGAAAAGTATGGTTCATGGGATTCCTCTGACTTTTACCACATGTTAATGACATTAAACATCTTTCTAAAGAAAGAAGTTACTGTCTTTCATAAAAAGTGCATCATTTACTTTAAATAAAGAAAATAGAGACAACTTCTGTTTAATTAATTTCACAAATTGCTATGATGGGTATGGAAGTGAATGAAGGGTACAAAAATGTGTTAATACAAAATAATTTGGTAGATATGTAAAGAAAAGAATGCACTGGAGATTTGTTTGCAAGCAATAGATTTCCCTGCATGTATGCATCAATCTCGTTATCCTATGAACTGTCCTTTTGTGGATATGAAAGCATTTTATAACAAACACACCCATTTATAAAAATAAGTTCCATATTGGAAAAAAACTCAATCTAATTTAATATTGATCTTGTTTCAGAACTTACAGTTTCTCCCCAGAGGGTGAGGTTTATCATGACCTGATTTTGGTCAACCAAAGAAACCTCCCTTTTCTTCAGCTCCTTCTGTGTTGCCTTGGCAATGATTGTGGAAACATCTGCCACGGACTTGACCACACCAATCACATCTGTTAATAAATGAATAAATTATTTTACTGGCACAAATGGGAGAATAATGGGGTCTAGTCCAAATGGATTCACTCCTACAGCACTAAGAACATAAAGTGACCAAGATGTATAAATGTGCTGGATGTAATACAACCATTCAAAAAGCAGGAAATTTTGCAAAATAAATGTCTAAAGGTATAACAACTCTTCATTTTGGCAGAATAAGTGCTAAAAATTTTATTTCCTGGGAAAATGACAATTTTCCCATACTTTCTCATGGTTAATGAACTAACATTCAAGGTTAGTTGATTGTCTTTTTTAGTGGTTTTTGTAATAATTTCTTAAGATATTATTTGGGAGGGTAGCCATCGCAGGGTCCATGTGGTTCTTTGGCAAGCACAGCTTCCGAATAATTGCAATAACCCCCATTTTGGTGGTAAAATTGCATTACTTATTTTATTTATGTGTTCTTTACAATGTATTTATTGTGAAATTTTGGATCTTATATGAAGAGTTGTTATCCCTTTAAGTATCAGATGAGCCTAATGAAGTCGTAACAAACAGAAAATGGTGATTTTGTTGCGGTCATTATTTACAAAGAACACAAGTAGATCCAGCTTACCCACTGTGGTGTTAGGGGCCATGTTGCCCAATGCATTTATAGGTGTGAAGTTGAACGTCACAGTTGGCAGATCTACATCTTCAGTGCACTCTTCTATCTGGGAGTCTCTGTTCAGGGTCATCTCGTAGTCATTGTCCACTGAAGAGTACTGCTTGTTGGCTGTTTTCAAGGTTGCTTTGGTGACATAGTAAACCTGTTAATGTGATTAAGAAATTGTTAATAAGATGGAAACTTACATGTTAAAGTATGACTATGACTCTCTCTCTCTCTCTCTATATATATATATATATCTTTTTCTGAAAAATCATTACCTTTCAACATGTGCTATACAATTCTCATGAACTTTTTAATTAGCATTCAGCCTTTCCTTTAACCACATATTTCGGTCACCCCCCTCTCCCCCACCACCAAAACACTACCTTATTCAATTCCAGTATATCATAGAACTTGTCCACTTCTGCTTTGAATGCGGTAGCCCGGATCTCTCCACTCTCATCTGTGAATGTCATGCTAAAAAGTTTCCCCTCTCCACGAGAATTGCTCCATGTCCTAATGTCGGACTTGTTGGTCAGTCTGGCTCTAATTGTCCACCTAAAAGAGCAGATAACTGACTGACTTACTAATTCAGGCAAGAGTTTTGCAAAATAA